TACAAATATAGCCTATTCATTTGACTAATTGTCACTAATGATAGCTGTATATTGTCTGGCAATGAAAGAATAATGAAAAACTATTTTCCAGGAGTGTAATTACGTCTTTCAAAAAGATGTGTATATCATTCACTACAAAAATTCAAGGCATACTTATTGAATTGGAGAAGCTTGAAATATGATTAATCAGAAGGCATTAAAAAGTAATCTATATATATTAGTGGAGGGAAACTTCAGGCTAATCCATTGAACTCCTTCTTGTCTCTGCTTTGAACATTTTTGGAGATTGAATCGAAGATTTATATCAATTCATTGACAGACCACAAATTCTTTTTTCAGATAGCCTGCACATCACAAAACATGCTGAGTTTTGAAACGTTAACAGGTTGGTCCTTCATTTCAAGTAAATTGGGAGCTAAGAAAATCAATTAACAGTACCACTCATAAGAAAAGCAGGCACCAAGGTTGACTGGCTGTGTGAGAGCCAGAATTATTCAGATGGAATGCATTTAGCGGAGTTTTTGGCTAAGGAAGACAAAGATAATGCCAATTATTTTTTTTTTAAATATATGAATTGGCAGAGAACACTACCACATACTGCTAGGCAAACAGTACCAAAAATTCAACATTCCCAGGTGTTCTCAATTGCAGCTTTTTAAAATTGGGCATTGTTTGGTCAGATTGATAATGGCAGTCTAAGACTAGTAGTTGACATTGAAGTAGCTTTATCCTGGATCTTCTTACTGAAGGAATATGTCTCCATAAACAATGGTGTTGCGCATAGTGTCGATAGTAATTTCATTGATAAAAGACTATAACTGGACAAGAAGAGAAGCCTAATGTACTCATGAGACTGCTCTATGGACTAATACTTCTTAGAAGACCCTTATTGAGTGTAATGGAATAGATGCAACCTTGCCATTGGAAATGCCATGTGGATAATGAGAAATGTTCATTCATTCCAAACAACCAGAATTTACTGTCAAAGACAGCTTTCCTATAAAACAATACTTTCAAATAAGATTACTGATTTTAGGAACTTATTAGCAAGCCATTTATCTAATTCTCTTGCTTCAGAAGCTAGATAAAATAGCATCAAAATACAGTGGATTACAACAATTAGACTAATTTTGACTTAAGTGTGTCCAAGATTGCGTGGTGCAAAACAAATCTCTACATTCCTAGCCTGGCACACAAAATGAAAACATGTGCTACAGATGAAACTAATTTAAAGGAGAAAAGCTTTTGCTTGCATATGTTGTGTGGTCTAAAATATACTTTGTAGAATAATTAATTTGAGTTACCCATGACCTTGTTGTGGAAATATGCAAAAGAAAAGAATGACATGAATACTGCCAAAGTTATCATTTATTAATTTTAAATGGTTGCTTTCTTGCATCAAAGGTATACTTGTTAAAGATTAGTTTTGATGTCAGGGCCTTATATCTCATTTTCCAGTTTATAGATGATTATGGTTTCCTTATTCAACTTTTGTTTGGAAGATCTGTCCAGTGGCGAGAGAGGTGTGTTGAAGTCTCCCATGATTATGGTATGGTGGTCTATTAGACTCTTGAACTTGAGAAGAGTTTGTTTGACGAACATAGCTGCACCATTGTTTGGGGAATAAATATTTATGATTGTTATGTCTTGTTGGTGTATGGTTCCCTTGAGCAGTATGTAGTGTCCCTCTTTATCCCTTTTGATTAACTTTGGCTTGAAATCTATTTTATTTGATATGAGTATGGACACTCCTGCTTGTTTCCGAAGTCCATATGAGTGATATGATTTTTCCCAACCTTTCACCTTCAGCCTATGTATGTCTTTTCCTATCAAATGCGTCTCCTGTAGGCAGCATATTGTTGGGTCTTGTTTTGTGATCCATTCTACTAGCCTGTGTCTCTTGATTGGTGAGTTTAAGCCATTAACATTTAGGGTTATTATTGAGATATGGGTTGTTCTTCCAGCCATATTTGTTTATTTCTGTTACTAAACATGGTTTGTTTTCCTCTTTGATTATTTTCACCCCCTTTACTGTCCTACCTCCCACTGTTGGTTTTCATTGTTATTTTCCATTTCCTCTTCCTGTAATGCTTTGGCGAGGATGTTTTGAAGAGATGGTTTTCTAGCTGCGAATTCTTTAAACTTTTGTTTATCGTGGAAGGTTTTAATTTCATCTTCCATCCTGAAGCTTAATTTCGCTGGATACACAATTCTTGGTTGGAACCCATTTTCTTTCAGTGTTTGAAATATGTTATTCCAGGATCTTCTAGCTTTCAGAGTCTGTGTTGAAAGATCAGCTGTTATCCTGATTGGCTTACCCCCAAATGTAATCTGCTTCCTTTCTCTTGTAGCTTTTAAAATTCTCTCCTTATTCTCTATGTTGGGCATCTTCATTATAATGTGTCTAGGTGTTGATCTCTTATATTTTTGCACATTCGGCATCCTGTAGGCTTCTAGAATTTGGGATTCTGTCTCATTCTTCAAGTCTGGGAAGTTTTCTCGTATTATTTCATTGAATAGACTGCTCATTCCTTTGGTTTGGAGCTCTATACCTTCCTGTATCCCAATGACTCTTAAGTTTGGTCTCTTAATGTTATCCCATATTTCTTGGATGTTCTGCTCATGGTTTCTTAACAGTCTTGCAGAGCTGTCTATGTTCTTTTCCAGTTGAAATACTTTGTCTTCATTGCCTGATGTTCTATCTTCTAAGTGTTCTACTCTGCTGGTAGTATTCTCCATTGAGTTTTTAAGTTGATTTATTGCTTCCTGCATTTCTAGGATTTCTGTTTGTTTTTTATAACCTCTGTCTCCCTGTATAGTTGATCCTTTGCTTCCTGGATTTGTTTGCGTAATTCATTGTCGAAGTGATCTTTCATTGTCTGATTTTGCTGTTTAATGTCTTCCTTGATACTCCAGATCGTCTGAAGCATGTATATCCTGAATTCTTTATCTGACATTCCATCTGCTGCAGCTGTTACCTCTTCTAAAGTTGCGTTGACCTGCATTGCTTGTGGTCCTTTCTTTCCTTGTCTTTTCATACTGCTTGCGTATCTTTCCTGCAGGTGCGGGCGGTGGCTCTGCTCTCTCCTTATTCCAATTGGGGCGTCGTGGCTACCACGCTGGCAGGTCACTGGGCCTGTTCTGGGTGCTGGCGGCGGCTCTGTTCTGCCCCTACTCCAATTGGGATGACGAGTGTACCACGCCGGCAGGCCACCGGGCCTGATCCGCCGGTCGGTTGCAGGTTTGCCTACCCTGCAGGCGCGGGCGGCGGCTCTACTCTGCCCCTACTCCAAATGGGGTGACGTGTCTGTCGTACCGGCAGGCCACTGGGCCTGTCCCGCTGGTCAGTCGCAGATCTGCCCACCTTTCGGGCACGGGTGGAGGCTCTGCTCTGCCCCTACTCCAATTGGGGTGTCGTGACTACCCCGCCTGCAGGACGCTGGGCCTGTTCCTGGCACGGGCGGCAACTCTGCTCTGCCCCTACTCCAATTATGGTGGTGTGTGTACCACGCCGGCAGGCTCCTGGGCCTGATCCGCCGGTCTGTTGCAGGTCTGCCTACCTTGTAGGCGCGGGCGGCGGATCTGCCCTGCCCCTCCTACCACGCCTGCGGACCCCTGGGCCTGATCTGCAGGTTGGTCACAGGTCTGCTCACCCTGCAGGCACGGGTGGTGGTTCCGCTCCGCCCCCACTCCAATTGGGGTCACGTGGCCACCACACCGGCAGGGCCTGATCCTGGCGTGGGAGAAGGATCTGCTCTGCCCCTACTCCAGTTGGGGTGACGTGTGTACCACACTGGCAGGCCACTGGGCCTGACCCGCCAGGCTGTCACAGGTCTGTTTACCTTGCAAGCACGAACGGCGGCTCTGCCCTGCCCCTCCTACCACGCCCATGTACCACTGGGTCGCGGGTCTGCCCACCTTGCGGGTGCGGGTGGCGGCTCCGCTCTGCCCCCTCTCCAATTGGGGTCACGCGGTCACCACGCTGGCGAGCCGCTGGGCCTGCTCCGGGTGCTGGCGGCGGCCCGGCTCCTCCCCTCTGGCTCGACGACAAATTGAGGAGACTCGGGTGTCTGTGCCTCACCCCCCCTACCAGGAGACCAACTGTTTATGTCGCCGCTGGTATTGATGAAGTTCTCTCCTCCGCCGCTTTCTGATGACATCAGATCTCTGCCATGTTGGTATCCTATGCGAATGGCAGCATTTCGTTCCCCTTGCCGGGCAACCAAAGCAACGGGTGAGTCCTGACCGGCCCTCAGCAGGACCCGGACCGAGAAGCAGTTTCCGCAGGCTCCTAGCCCCGGGCCAGGGAAGTTCCAGGAGCCGGAACTCGGCCGCTCCGTGCTCGGTGTAAGCTCCTATAAGGGTAGGCTCCAAGAAGCAGTCCCCGCGGGCTCAGTTCCGGGAGCCGGAATTCGGCCGCTTAGTGCTTGGTGTATGCTCTGATAGGAGCAGGGTCCAAGAAGCAGCCTCCGCAGGCTCCGCAGCCCTGGGCCAGGGCGGTTCCGGGAGCCGGAACTCGGCCGCCCCGCGCTCGGTGTTCGCTCCGATAAGATCAGGTTCTAAGAAGCACCCATGCACTGAACCCTAGCAATCTGTTTGCAAGCCGCAGGCGAATGGCAGCCTGAAATTACCTGTTCTATGGCTGAATGAGCTGCGGTCAGTCGAAAACAGGGATGGTGACGTCAGCTTTCCAACATGGTGGCTGCTGGCCTCCTCTGTGGTCTGACCGGTGTGGAGAACCGAGATGGACCGCTTCCTTCCCCCATCTCGAACCCAGAATTCAGCCCTGAGTACGGTGCTTGCACGGCTGGCAGAAACTGCAGCGCTGTATCCCTGGGTCGCTATCTCCTCGTTTCCCAGCGCGCGCTGCAGACTCTAGCCACGGGGCGATTTGCTGAATAAGCAGTCTTACCCTCCGTGCGACAAACCTCTCGCGTTTGAGTCCCCATAGCCGATCCTCGTGCAATGGAAATCCTTCCTCCAGGTTCCGGAGCACCCCACTATTGACTGTGAACTCCTAAAGCTTTCCAGACTGCGAAGCTGATCACACCAACCCCACACCAGGCATAAAGTGAGCCCCAGCCAAGAGCTCTCAAGGCAAGGGAAGACCTGCTCTCTGGTAAGGCAGCTGTAGCCATGCTTCCCTTATTGAACCATTCAGGGCTTTTCTTTTTAGCCAATGATAGTGTGGTAACAAATCCAGCCAACATTCCTGCTGCGGCAACAGAACCAAGGAAAATTCCACCTTTAACCAGGAAAAGCCGATCGTCCGTGGGCGCCGGAGTCTCCAGGTGAGAAGGCTCACCAGGCCCAGTGCCCGCCGTCTCCATGTCGGTCTCCACCACTGCGTACGGCGCCAACTATAGATGATTATGAACAGAATGGTTATAGTACTTACCAAAAGTCAGAAAGAAAATCATAGGTCTGGTGAAAATTGGTCTTAGAAACTGAACAGATTTTTTTTTCAACAAATGTGGAAAAGTTGTCTATATTAAAATAGCCAAAATTCACATATTCATATATGTCTCATTGTTAAAGAGAAAGAACAGCTCTACTGTCTCTTTTGTTTCTTTCTTTGTCTGTCTTGGGGTGTGCTCTCTCTCTCTCTCTCTCTCTCTCTCTCTCTCTCACACACACACACACACACAAATGCAAATAAACACACACTCATCACTCATGGACACACAAGAACAAATTGTATAATTTTGATATTTATGAGAGGTTAATATGTCTTTGTGCTTTGTTCCTTTGATACTAGAACCAAGCCAAAGATCTTGTTTTTGTTAATCAGTTTAGAAAATCATGTAATTCATATTATATAGTAATCATTATTATGGAATATATTGATCCACCAAAATAATGAAATTAAATTTTTAACTTAGTTTATCATCAACATGATCTAATACTTCATTAATATTCCAGATATGGGTAACATGTGGCCCATAGAACTTTGGTATTTTACATGTTAATCCTAAGAGTTTTACACAAGTGTCATGATTTATATGAAATTGCTTGCTTTTGGTCTCTTACACTAATGAATGAATGAATGCTTACAGTTCCCCTTCTAATGAAAAAGAACCCTCTCCCAAATCAGATTGTCTAATGCTTTAATTTATCTAGCTGTAAGATATAATCTGAATCTGATACTAACACAAGGACAATCCAAATTGATGTTTCAAAATTGTTATGTCATAATTATCTTATATAGTGCCCTGTCTATAATTTCAAAAGCCTTCCATTTACGTGATTGTATAATTTGGGGAAAATACCTCTCTACAGTTTAAAACAGATTTTGAAAATCAAAATTCAAATATGAATATTGTTTCATTAAAAAGTATGCTATACTAAGGGAAATGTTTTACCTATGTGATTACAAAGTTTTACCTATGTGATTGTTAATAATGATTGTCTTACATTCTGAAATATCTTTTTTATGTCCAAGTAGAGAAACAGTAAGGTGAAAACTATATTAGCCAGATAAAGCAATCTCATCAGGAAATGTTGGCTTCATATGGAAAAGTGAAATCATGAAAATTTAGATTCCAGCATTTAATCTGAAGATTAACTCTCATTGCAAATACTGCCAGTTGGGTTTAGAGGGTCTTAATTTTTAAAAATCCTATATTAGACTATTACACTAATGACTAACATTGGTGAAAGTAAGAAGAGATGTCTTTGAGAAGAGAACTATCCTGGGATTTTCCCCCTGAGTTTACCACTAATTTTTTGAAACATCTAGCTTGGTTCAGATAACATAATGCTGTGTACAGTAAAAGGCCAAATGGTGACCCAAAGAAGTCACAGAGATTCAAGCCAGAGCTGTGGGGATGAGGGGACTGAAATCAAATATCAGGTTTTCTGTTTATCTCTAGCTATCTTATTAATAATTAATACAGTCACAAAATCAATAGGGATTTAAGGATTCTTAGTATTCTTGTTAAAAATTAGCAAGTAGAAATATAGTACCTTGAAACACTAAAAAGCAAGCAACTCAGGGCCAGGTATGGTGGTGCACACCTATAATCCCAGCAGCTCCGGAGGCTAAGGCAGGAGGATGGCAAGTTCAAGGCCAGCTTCAGCAACTTAGCAAGGCCCTAAGCAAAATAAAACCAAATGGGGATGTGTCTCAGTGGTTAAGTGCCTCTGGATTCAATCCTTGGTACCAAAAAATATTTTTAAAAAATAAAAAAAAAACCAAGCAACTCTATTTTCTAATAAGAGATTCTATTTTTCCCCAGTATTATTTTCCATCTCTATGAAAGACAGGGACTGGTAAGTCCAACATGGTTGGCACTGTTTCTGATGAGGTGTCTGTTTGTGGTATATTTGTGTGTGTGTGTGTGTGTGTGCTCTCCAGAATCACACAGTGTAGGTTGACAGTCACAGAACCAAACTATCTTTTAGTGAAATGCTGTCAACTAAATTACATTCCCAGTCAGCTTTAATTTATATTCCAAGATTACTAGGACCTTTAAATGCCATCACAAAATTTTCAAAATCATCGATCTGCAATTACTTCATACTACTCCTAAATATAAAAGTTCAAAAGAGTTCAATATTTTTAAAAATTAAGATTACCAAAATCACCTGTATGTGATGCTAATATTCAAAGTAATGCTTACCAGTGTTTCCCAGTATGTGTTTAAAAGATGACTTACAACAGGAAGAATTCAAATGCAGTGGGTGATTAACATTTGTAAAAGAAATTTCATCTGTAGTTCTCAATCATGTTTGAGAGAGCAAGTCCTCTATGGCTTTTACTAAACCTATTTTTTATTGCTGTTTTGAGCTATGGTATTAAATAGCCTTTTGTAGGCCCTTAATCAGAAATAATCTTTCTTAGTTAAGTTGATATAACTACATTGGTTGCTACAAACAAGCATTTCAGTTTTATCTGATAACATTTGAAATGTTACATAAACCATGGGTTTGTCTTTTTAATTTCATAAATGAAGACAGGCATAAATCTATAGAATATCAAGATGTGTCAAGTAGTAAAGAACAATTTGAGAATTTGCATATATAAAATCATCTTTCAAATCATAATAGTGAATAAGTTATATTTGACCTTCACAGAAATTATTTCTAGAATGCATTTATTTTGGTGGAGCAAAAGTAAAAATTAACAATTTATTATAGAATTTGAATTTATTCTTCTGTCTGTAATAAGAATTAGGAATCTTGAACTTGACAGACTGCACTTGCCTATGATTATTCAAACCACACAGAATGAGCAGACAGTGGCTGATCCAAGGTTTGGCCTTACATATTCAAGCCAAAAATGATCTCTTTGTTTACCATACTGTCTAAAATCCTACCAATAGTTTCAGTTCAGTATTGTAAAAATGTAACTGGACTCCAGAAGAACTGGATGCATATTTTAAAAACTATGAGTCACATGCAAGTTATTTATTCTCTCTGAGAATTAAATTTCCCTATCTGTTGTGAGAATCAAAGGAAGACATACATATATATTATTATTATATATATATAAAATTACTTTCTGCAAAGTGTAACAAAGGTATAGGCTATATTATCATTATTCTTTTATGTTAAGACATTTTTAACTCTTAGTGTTTGAAATCCTAGAAAAGGGTGTTGGGAGCCATGTGTGAACTATGGACATTGTTTGAACCATTAAGGCAAGGAAGCTGCTTTTCTGGGAACTGCTAGGTGAAATTCCCCAGTTTCAGAAAGCCCAGATCATGCTGGTGCCCTGACCTAGCTCACAGCTCCAAGTTCCAACACTGCCCTCTGGAGATGGACATAATCTGCCAAGCACCAAACAACCTGTTTACCCCACTCCTATCCTGTGGTTTGGTTTGGTTTGGTTTGGTTTTTGTGTGTGTGTGTGTGTGTGTGTGTGTGAAGAAGCTCCCTATGGATTCCCTTTGGTCTCTATCACTATAAATAAAGCAAGCTCAGGCTTTTTCTTTGTTAGAGTCAGACCCAACTGGTCTGCTCAATCCATCACTGCCCCTGCTTCTGTGTTTATTTCATAATACTACTTTCATAGCTTTTATTTCACAGCCAGCCCACACCTCCAACAGTTACCTACTCCCTTGCCCACATAGGATGTGAGCGGGAAAAGTTGTCATATTTTACTGCTACAAGTCATTAGCCATTGCTACCATTATTAACTGCTTTTTTTTTTCCTTTGATTATGCTGGGAATTAAACCCTGGGCCTCATGTACACTAAGCACATTCCTACAACTGAGGTATATTTCTCAGCCCTTAACTACTCATTTTGATACCAAGCACAAAACATACATTATTATGTTTAATCTATTTTATTCTCACTACAACTACCCAAATATTGTTATTAATATTCTTGCCATTTAAACATAAGGAAACCAAGACTTTGAAACATCTGCCAAGATGAGGACCTACATTTGAATTTGAGCCTCATGATAGTTGTTTGATGCTAAACAGCTGATTAATTCTCCTCAACTTTGAAATGAATTCAGCAGCAGTAGGATATCAAGGATTTTAGAAAACTTGGAAATAAAGACATCCAGTAGTTTAAAAAAAAAAACTGTAAGACAATAATAGAAATTGCAGCAATAGCAGCAGTCAATTGCATAAGGCCAGCCCTGCTAGTCACTTCCCCCTCAATAGAACTTTCTACAATGATTGAAATGTTCTATATTGTTGCTATCCACTATGGTAACCATTAGATACATGTAGTTATTAATCACTAGGTATTTAGCCAGTGTCACTGAGGAATTTACAATATTTAATTAATTTCAATTTTAATTTTTTAAGGATTTTTTTGTCATGCTGAGGATTTGAACCCAGGGCCTTGTGCATTTGAAAGCACTCTACCAAGTGAGCTATATCCCCAGCTCAATTTTAATTTTACCAGCTGCATGTGGTTAGTATCAACTGTATTGGACAAGTGGATCTAAAGGACATAAGATTTATTATTTCAAAACAAATGAATAAAGTAACTCTTAATTTCTTACTAAAATATGTGTAGGGGCCTGTATATATTATAGACACTTACAATAACTAATATATTACATGTGTTTTATTTTATTTCATTCAAATGTGAGGTAGCATAATATATTGAAAAAGGCAGTGGGCCAGAAGGAAAGTGCCTGGATTCTATTCCCAGATCTGGCACAAACTAGATAATATGACCTTGAGCAAGTACTTCACCTTCCCAGTCTTGAGTCTTCCGGATTTTTTAACTTAATGAAGATATTTTAAAGACCAAATTGTACTGGTTTTAAAATTAATTACATTTGGATGTATTTCTTTTACAAAGCATTAATACATAATTTCTTTTTACCAAGGTTCCCCTCCCCCCAAAAAATCACTTACCACTTAAAACTCAAAAAATAAATTTTTT